ATGACATTTGGTTAAGAACAACGGTAAATCAAAAGTGTCGGCAAAATTTTAATGGCTAGAATGGTAAAGTATATTGAAAACATGATTCGTAGTTTGACAAGTGCCAAAGAATGGAACAAATTAAAACGATTGCCCCTGAACTAACACCATTAAAAACATCAGGACCCTGGGAAACAGTTGGTCAGGATTTGATTGGTCCCTTTCCAGAAACAGCTGCTGGCAATAGATATGTGTTTACCTTAACAGATTTGTATACGAAATTTGTGTTTGCTTTTCCTATTAAAGACAAAACAGCATCGAGTACATTTCAGTGTCTGTGCAGAATATTCTTCCAGTTTGTGCGCACACAAAAAATATAAGTGATCGAGGTGAAGAATTCGTTAACTATCTAAATGATTCTATGTTTAAACAATTTGGAGTAAAACATCTGCTAACTTCAACATATCACCCTCAAACGAATGGTCAGGATGAGAGAACGAATCAAACTGTAAAAAGATCATTTAGTAAATTATTAATGAATTCAAAACAGAACAATTGGGATAATTTTGTAGCGCCAGTTGTGTATGGGATCAACACTAGTCGCCAAGAATCAACTAAATATTCCTCATTTTATCTCATATGTTTGGACGATTTCCTAATCTTTTTTCAGAACTTGCCTGAAGAGAAAGCAGGAATTGCGCACCAGATCGGAAAACCAGCCCGCCAACAATAACACCACACACAAAGATGACGTTGAAGAAAAATTAAAAGATGAAAGGATATATTTGTGGATGTTTAAAAATATAGAGAAGGCACAGGGGAAGCAGAAGAAACAGTATGCCTAGAAAATCAAAAGAGTGTAATATAAGTCATTTGATTTTTCAGTTGGCCATCGTCGTAATGCTTCCTCGTCGAAGTTCTTCGTCGTAATGAGAGAAAGATTGGAAGAGAAAGGTGGCTCGGTCCTTACATTATAGCTAGCATCGTATAAATAGTTGTGCAATGTTAAAAAGTAGTACGTATTATGTAGGATGTATTGTTAAAATTTAGTAAATGTAATGTAATGTAATGTAAGTAAAAAGTAGGATGTATTAAAATGTAAGTTAATTAAGTTATTAAAGGAAGCACATCATGTAAAAGCCAGTAAATAAAGAAAGGCTAGTTGGTGTCGAGGAACACAATACGCCAGTTTTAACGCAGCTGTCAGTTGCTTTCTGTCAGGAAGTGATAAATTAAATGAAGGTGCCGTCGTTGTTAAATGTAGAAAATGTAGTGAGGAAGTGATAGAAGTAGGCAAATAGACCCCCCCAATTTCAGTAAAAAGGCGCGGAAGTAAACAACATTGGCTCAGTTTCAACTTGAAAATCAGAACTTTGAAATCAATTCTGGAAGGATCATGGTTAGCGATGATCACTAGATTATGCATCTAGATTGTTGAAAGAGGCTTATGCAGGCATTAATGGTTTATGTCTGTTCTTCTTGTGCAGACTCAACAAGTTTCACTTCAGTTGTGGGACAGCTTCATTCAGCCAACTCCTGTTTGTGGAAATCAATGCAGGTATATGACACTGCCAGGTCGTAAAGCACCAGACGCGCCTTTTTAACCAGGTTGCTGCACTCTGCGCACTACAAAAAAGGACTATAACTATCGAGTCCATACCAGTCGTCGAGCCTACGAGTCATATGCATCGCCAAGATGGTGGAATGACTGTGGAGCTTTTTGCAATTGCAATAAGTCATCAGAGTCGTTTGGCAATAGAGTAAATCCTGCACAAGTCTTTTTCAGGCAATCCGAAATGCCGCCAACATTTGTATAATTGTTTCAAAAAACAAAACACACCTTTCCTGTGTGTGACAGAAACTCGCCAAATCCAAATTCGCGTTCATTGTTTGTGGACTGACAGTTTGTATACTGTGGGTGCAAGCCTTCCAGAAAAGAAAGCGGTTGCCACATGGTTGATGTTGGATATGCTAAGAGGATAATTGTTATTTCTTATCAATATGGTGTTGAACTTTGACTTAAAACAGTTATAATATATTTCGAAAGGTATAGTTAGATTTAAAATGTAGTTACTAATTTTGCTGAGCTTGTATTCCTGCAGTATGTTCTGTCATGTCAATGTAGAGTGTCATGAATGATAGCAACTGCCTATGGTCTCCTACATATTATTATGGACCTGTCTAATTAAATTCCTGTACGTATATATGCCTTTCTACTAGGCGGGTTGTATGCACACCTACCTGATAGCATAGTGCTAGCCGCTAGCCTCGAGATTACCTATTGAAACTCGATCAATAGTGACGTTTAATGATAATGCAACCGCTTTTAGTGGTAATTATTTTACCAATAAATATCCATAAAAAATAAATAGGTATACATTTGCAATACTTGTTTTAATTCGCTTTACTTTGCAGTATCAAATGGAAAATGGATGAGTTTAAGGCACACCACTATCTATCTATCTAGCGTATACAATTACAATATATCTATCTTGCTATCTAATCTATTTACCTGGCTATCTATCTATATAGCTAACCATGTGCGCAACACAATTAAGCATGAGAGCTTAATCTATTATCTATTAATCTATATCCAGCCTAAATGTATTAATGCTTCACATATACATCGATAATATATCACTAAATAATGCTAATTTGAGAATTGTTAATGTAAATACAAGCGGATTATGTAAATGACTTTCCCAGCGTGTGCTAGCTCTCTTCTAATAATAGCAATAAACAATTTTCGACGGCGTGTGAAAACTGAGACTTTCAGCTCAAATGCCTCAATAAGAAGTATTTAGCATATAGCCAGGTGAAGTTGCTAGGCTGTAAGAATATTTGCGGTGAGAAATTTCCCGGGCTAAGAAATTCCGTGCCTTAACACCCGGTAAATTCATGTTGACCGGTTTTTTGGCGCATGCGCAGAACACGCCAGCGAACTGGACTTATTTCCCGCGTGAGAAAATATGTTGCGACACCGGCATTATATCTGACGGCTGCGCGGCACAGTCTTCGCTTTCCTAACATTGCCAACCGGCAGTTTTAATATCAGCGTTATCTCAAGTAAACAAGGTTAGGATAGGGTTGAGGAACTTGCCGGGCATTTAGGGAAATCAAAGACCGTGGCCGGCAGCCGGGCCATATAGCCACAGCCGAAAATAGAATACTCTACGTGACGCTGTCGCCGTTCCTTTCGCTTTCTGCTGCAGTCTCAGTCTGTTATTAACCACAACAGCTACAGCTACAAGTTCCAAGTGTACAGAACTTAAGTAGCAGTGTGAGCAGTGCAGCCGATGGTGCTATATACGTGCCTACCACGGTTAGAGCCACAGCGCCACCTTGCGACTGGCTGGTCGCGGATATCGATAAATTAGCAACCCGTTCTGGCGCCATACCGTAAGCCTGTGATAATAAGAGTGTATATGAGAGCCGGGGACCAGCCAGTCGCAAGTCCCTGTGGTTAGAGCCAAGTTATAGTCGAGGCTGTCAACAAATTGAAATTCAACCACGTAATGCCACGCCGGACCATCGCCCCACCACGTTCACTTATCATTTATGATCGTTATTAGTTTTACCAGGTCTAATGATACTAATCTATAACGATCATTTTTATTTGATGTATCAGTCGTTCGCGATATCGACGTCTGCGGCATTTGATCATTTTTATGTAAAAAGGGCGAAATATAAATAAATAAATAAATAAAATGTTATTCTTTACGCATCGGTGCGGCTTGCCTCTCCGCCAACATCGCAGCACTGCACGACGGATCACCTCTGAGGCGAAGCCGACTCCGCCCGCCCCACCGCGCCGCGGACGCATCCGCGCCGAACTCTCCCGCTCTAGCCTCTGAGCAGACAACTCAAGTACCAGCGCGCTTCAGCCTCCAGAGGCGCTGGGCAAGCGAGGAGGAGATGGCGGCGCACCACGCCCGGGCCGTCCATCGACCTCGTCCGCCGAAAACCTTGCGACGAGGCGATCGCGTCTGCGCTTCCCGCCGATGCCGTCCAGCTGGCCGCCGCGCGGCAGCAAGCGACGCAGGACAAGTACGGCGACTACCAGTGCAACAACGCAGATGACGATCGCTCAGCGCGCTGCCGGAGCCGCGGCGAGAAGGTCTCGACCGCGGGACGTCGCCGCCGGCGATCGATCGCCCAAACCGCCGGCGACGACGTGACGGAGGGAAGGCGGCGGAGTCGCCGGACCGGCCGGTTCGTGAACGTCGCGCTCCGTCGTTCGTTCGTCGCCGTCGCCTCGCCGACGCAGCCTCGCCCGAC